ATATTTTTGTATATACATGTAATTGAGATATATGCCATTAATAATCAGTATAAAGGTGTTATGGCCATGAAGCTGTTGAAACTTATACTTGATATAATAGTAACATTTATCATTATTGGCTTTCTTAATGTATTTAATTCTTAAGAATGCTGCAAATTCTGCTGATGGAGCTAGTGAAGCTGGTAGTGCTGTGTCTGCTGCAGACACGAGTATTACTGCAGTACCACTTCAAACTTTTGTTTTTTGTTTAACGCTGGCAATATTCCAGCAGTATGACAGCGGTCTGTAAATAAACCAGCCTGGACCAGACAATCCAGTTATTGACATCATGAGCATTGATCCAATAGGGATACGATGACACGCATCAAATAAGTCCACGAACCTGATCCCCCAATCCTGTTAGTCGCCTGTTACGACAAACATTGTCGCCTTTTATGGCAAGCATGCGTTGCTGAAGACCTATTCTAACCCGGATCAACACGGGTCACCACACCAAACCAGATATTCACATTTGGACCAGATATGGTTGATGGCATTAGAAACAAACCTTGCCATTTTTAGTACAATGACAATAATAGACACAAGTAACCTTGTCTCCCATTTTATCCACTCAATCCCCATTTTACTGTCTGTTTGGTGTTTGGTCACTAGAAATAATTGCTGAGTCAAGCAGATGAGTTGAAGTCACAAGTCTCATGGGCCAACGTGCACAAAGCATTCCTAGCTCTAAGACCATCACGTATCAATCCCCTACACAGACTTACAATAGCCATAACGCTAATGAACAACCACAAGTATTGGGCCCACAAAGCAATCCAGGGCCCACTTGCACAAAGCCATCTTAGCGCTAAGATCATCTTAGAACTAAGATCGCTTTGTGCAAGTGGGCCCTGGTGCCACTACCATTGTAAGATCATACTTTAACATGGATTTACAATGGTGTTAGCACCAAGATTGCTTTGTATCATTCTGTTTGAGACAAATTATGATATCTCAGGCACTAAGTGTGTGATGATTGATTGAACAACTATTGGCATGGTCGGTGCAGATGTCAGGTTATTGGTTTGACATGCATGTCTTTTGTATTTCAGACTGACGACAAGTTGCGGCGACACCTAGCAGAGGCAATAGCACGCTGCTGTAACTGGGGCAATAATCGTGTAGCGTTTGGTCGGGAAGGGGCGGTGGCGCCGTTGGTGAAGTACCTCAAGTCACAAGACGAGAACGTCCACAGGTCAACAGCTAGAGCACTCTACCAGCTATCCAAGAATCCAGACAACTGCATCACAATGCATGAAGCGGGAGTGGTTCAGGTTGGTACACTTGTTTCTTTGGTGTTTTTTAACGCTTCTCTCACCAATACCAATATGACAACAACCTGTAAATAATCAAGCCTAGACCAGAATAACCAGTGATTGATATTGTGAATTATGGTTCCACTCTGTTGGGGCACAATGAAGTACTTAGACTGACCACCCAATCCAAGTCACATTGCGTGATACCACAAACATGCTTGCTGAGAACCAAATCTATCCCAGAACTCCTTTGGGAAGGGGCAGGGGCCGACTTGACAGATTACTATTTACCCAAGTTAAGGTCACTGTGGTCCACAGGTGGAGGCCCATTTCTGGAGACTCTCTGATCCCTGAGTGTGTTTTACCTAAAGATGTTAAAAGCTTGTAATTGCTGTTACCATGCCAGTAATATGACAGTGGCCTGCAAATAAACAAATTTTGACGAGACACCCAGTGATTGATATCATAAGCAACAATTCCTGCTGTGTGAGTATGACACGCCATCAACCAAGTCACCGATGTTGACCACCCAATCTACGAAGACCCCTCTTTCAACCAACATATGTTGCTGGCAACCTATTCTACCCATCATTCCCACAGGATGGTAGTTTGTGATTATGCCCTAATGGCATACATCTTCTGGAGGCAAGAGAGTTAACTGGCTATAAAAGTCCAGTTTCCACCCTTGCCGAACTAGGCTGGTATTATGGAGTTACATTTTGGCTGGACTAACGCGTCTATGCATAGTCCAATCAAAATCGTGCAACGAAATCGAAATCCGGTTCGTAAACTGTCGTGCAGATTTCGGTCGATTGCATGATTTGCAAAGCATGTGCACCGCCAACTCGTTGTCAGCAGATATTTTCCAAATCTTTTCATGTTTTTAATCAAGGTGCTCACGTGATTTGATGCATTTCGCAATATAAGACAAGTTTTTAACAATATAGATCTTGATTATCTATCAGATCGTCTTGACTGTGCGCCACCATTTTGTTTGAAACAAATGCAAGTGATGGAATCGGATTGGTCAATATGAGAGGCTTAGAAGGGATAGAACTCATAATAGCAAGTGGGGGCGCTATGATGGAGCCCAGGAATTCCAGCCTAGTTCAGCAAGGGATGAAACTGGACTTTTGAAGCCAGTTAACTCTCTTGTCTCGGGAAGATGAATTGCATAGTGCATTGATCATGCATTTAATCACTGGTTTGCCTGGTACAAACTGTTATTTACCAGCCACCATGATATAGCTGGAATTGTGGCTGTTGACTGCAGCTTTTAGCAATACTAGATATGATATGTATATATGAGTATATGAAGTTGGAAGAAATTTTTTAAACTCTTGTGTAGTTGGAGAAGTACAAACTTGACTAATTTCTATCTAATTCTCTTATCTAGCCCTTGATGAAGATGGTTGGTGCCACTGATGAAGACTTGCAAGAAGCAGCAGCTGGATGTGTAGGGAACATCCGTCGTCTGGCTCTTGCCAATGAAAAGGCCAAATATGCATAATAGGAAAGGACCACAGCCAAAGATCAATCTCAGTGCTGGAGTAACCACAACAGCTTCCATACAGCCGGCATTTCCATACATTTCTCCACTTTATTCAATGGATATAATAATAATAAATTGATCTCACTTAAAACAGAAACATCACAATTGTACCAACTCAGTTCGTAAACATATGTACTAACTAAAGGTTATTTACGGATACTTTACTTGTTTGATATTAAAGTTATTCTTACTCCTTTCAATATTTCATCTATCATTACATTCCGTCCAGTGAGGAAATGTTTGTGTCAGTATGTGATATATATTTTGTTATAAACAGCAGTTCAAACTATATTTACCCTCTGTGATAGCAAATCTTGTACACTGTTTTTAATAAATTGTTGACATGTTTTGTGTGATGGGAGTATTGTGAACTACCAGAGAGCTAAATCCAACAACAGTGAACTATAAACCACAGGCCCTTGAGTCGTTGCTTAAATATTTCCAGATCAATTTATATCATTAGTGTCAGAAATGTACTGTCCTATTATATCTTTACATATTATAGGATAGTGCATTTCTGACACTTGCGATATTAATTGATCAGGCAATATGTGAGCAACATTACAGGGCCTGTGCTTTAACCGGCATTTATTTCCGGTCCTGGCAAAACATTGTTAGTCCGGTCGTGGTCTATTTCGGATACCGGCACTGTGTATTTTGGCAGAGATGATTCCCGGCTCAAGATGATGACTGCAATAACATTAGCATGCGTGCAGTGTTTGTGTTTACATAACAAGTCAATTGGGAAAACAAGGTAATCAGTGATCGAAATTCTCTGAATTGAGGTGATAAAGAAATGAAGGCAAATTGTTTTAAAAAGCTGACATCTGATTGAGTCGTTTAGATCAGGCTTTCAATCTGGGATCACCCGACAACCTTTTGAGGGGTTGGGAATTATTCGTGCTGATTGGTATGCATCATCCCCAGGCAATCGTGTCCACTAGCCTATATCAAAGCCTAGTTTCTACCCTTGCCACACCAAGTCTTTTTTTCTTGGCTCGACCCTGGCGCCACCTCACGTAGATCACGAGTTGTGCCCCTTGTAATGAAAACGCGACATCCAATCTGATTGCTGTTCTTATCTCGTATAGCTTCACAAAGATGGCGGGTCTGTGAAGATCCGGGTTAGTATAGGTTTTCAGCAACCCATGCTTGCCATAAAAGACGACCATGCTTGTCGTAAGGTGCAACTAACAGGATTGGGCGACTTGGTTGATGCATGTCATCGTATCCCAATTGCGTGGATTGATGCTCATGATGTCTCATTGCCTGGTCAAGACTATTATTTACAGATAGCTGGTATTTTGCCGAGTGCAGCGTTAATCAACAAATAAACAAGACACAAAGATGGTGACTACCTAGTCAGTCATGGGGTCAAACGATGATATTCATGTAAACAGAGAGGCAGAGGTAAATCGCTTTCACATGAAGCTGTACCAGTCTTGGATGTTGATTTTGTTAAATGTTCCCTGATTGGACTATCGATATGTTTAGCAAAGTGGGCTTGATGTAGCAGGGATGGAAACAAGTCTTGGGTATGCTGAGTAAAGGATTGGATTCTAATAATAATGCCCAATATTTAAATAGTAAATTTCTACGATCTGCAACACTTTGGACTCATCCCACAAACAATATTCTTCAAAGTACTTGCTTTACTTGATTCCAACGCTGAACCATCATAGAACTATTTGGATGTTTTCTTTTGAAATTGAGCAGTCCACATTATTACTCAGTATTGTCTCTCCTTTACACAGCTACAAGATGCAATGAACAAGCTGAATTGTTTCATTGACAAAGTATTTATTTATGGATAATTTATTTACTGTAAAGTCTTGCTTGACAATGGTTTAAGGATCTATAACGAAACGTTAATTTATGGATAATGTCTTTAAAGGTGTCTACTTTGTCAGATACAAGTTACCATTAATATCTACACCTTAGCTACATGTAAACCTATTTCACCAGTTACTCTTGTGCTTTGTTTGGATCCATCTAGTGATAAAACTTTCAGTGTGTTAGCTTGAAGGGCAAACAGTTGGGACACGCACTATGATATGATGACCCTGTCCCAACACTGCCAGTTGCAGTCAATACAAGCCATATCAAGCTAGATCCATTGACTGTTGTAGTTTCCTCGTCACATCAAAACACAATTAACATAAAGATTTTTTATTTCAACATTATACATTTTTTTTATGAGCGAGAAAAAAAACCCTACCAAGTGACATTTGTACAGAATGAGTATACACAAAATAGAATTTGGAGACGGTAACTAAGACAATGAACCAGAGAAATATACAAATCTATATTGAATTGCTGGAAAACATGGATTATATAAAAATTAACCATGAATAACAATGAAGCAAACCTTGAAACCACAGATTAGATTGAAAGTATTACCAGGTGGTCAGCATGACAGGGGAATTGAGAGATCAAGGAGATATATAAAGTGTGATCAATCCACAACAATGACTAGTTCATACGCCCTACTGAGTTGGTTCATTTTCAGGATTTTTTCTCAATCATTGTCCCGTCACTTAAAAGTGATCTGTTATTGCAAGGTTATATGATAACAACTTTAACAAGATTGCTACTTCAACTTTGAAAAACATTGTAACCAGGACTTGCTGCAGTTGTCCCATAAAAATAGATGCAGCAATCAAAGAAATTCATATAAACTCTTAAATGAAGGTTATTTGAGCGTTAATCGCATAACGTGACTAACATGTGATGAGAATTTTTAATAAATTAGATAGTTCAGATCCCATAGTTTTTGCCACACTCTTTCGAAACGACTGCAGGATTTGAGAATGTTAACATGATTTTCGCGAAAACATCTCATCTTAGCCAAGTTAAGTCGGTAGATGACATTATGTACAGTATAAACAGACAGCAAGATCTAAACTACACAGAAATGTTTAGTCAGTACTTAACATACAGCAGACAATTACAAGATGAAAATGGGATTTTTTGCTGGTCACAAAATGCTGTCTCAGGAATCAAGCCAAGAATCATCTTTCCTTGGATTCTCTCACAAGATGGAGCAATGTTAGAAAAATATTGAGATGTCACAGTCTGCTACAATCCAAATCTTTGCCACAGCAACTTGAACAACTTGATCATGACATCTTACACCACCTCATACTCCTTCTTGATAGCCTTTCCTAGACAGCAAGCCAAACAGATTCCGAAAACCTGAAACAAAATTGCATCATTAAATTTCAGGTGCTATGATAGTTTGTTGCAGGCAGAATCTGGGTGTGACAACTTGATTAGATGTTTTTTTTATGAGGGAATCAAACCTCAGTCATTAAAACAGTCATTTAACTTGAAGCATCTGCTAAGGCAAAATTGTTTAGACTTCTGTCTACATCCTGATACCTTTCTTATTGAAGGCCAATCTTACCGATTATACCCAAAGAACAGTTTTCATCGCAAACATAACACTCTTTCATTTGCTGTAAACAAAGTGATCCTAAATTATTAATACACTTAATACACCGAGCTTCTTTGCCCTAAAGCAGCTGCTCTCACTGATCATGAAGCTGTATTTTTCGTAAATTGAGGTGACATTTTTCTCAGTCAAAACAGGATGAGGGCTAGTGCTGAAAGATGGCTCTATGCGACACTACGGTTTGGTTTGTGGAATTTGAAAGGGAGAAAAGTTTTTGTCACAAATTACCTGAACAAAGGCAAGTCCAATCCCAATGCCACCGAGCAAGATCACATTCTGCTTCAGCCAGTCAATGATTCCATTTGTGCATGACTGAAAAGAGAAGCAAAAAAAGTTAAACAATGGTGGCAGTAACAAGTCACGAAGTCTGAAATACAAGGATTAGGGCTGCATTATTCTACACTTGGCAGATCAATATGTTGGGAATGTCAGACTGTTGACAAGCCACAAAAAACAATTGGATTTGCCTTCTTTGTTTTTGTTTGTTGTTTTACGCCGCACTCGACAATATTCAAGCTACATGACAGCTATATATATATATATATATATATATAGCTATCTGTCTGTAAATAATCCAGTCTGGACCAGACAATCCGGTGATTGATATCATGAGCATGGATCCACGCAATTGGGAATCGATGACATGCATCAACCAAGTCAACGAGCCTGACCACCCGATCCCGTTAGTCACTCTTACGACAAGCATAGTAGTGAATCAAGCAGGAATAAAATTACGAAATTTATCAATGGCCTTACATCACATAACAATGCTTCACATAGTAAAATAAACTCAAAATGAATCATTGTGGTAGTCCCTCATCGACTGCAACTGCAAGTTTAATAAAGCTCTGTAATATTGGCAAGACTTACTTTAGTGTAAATGTCACCCGTGTTGGTGAACGACCGATCCTGACACTCTATGGAGCCGATGCTCTTGCAACATGACTCTGGTGGCTTAGGCAGGTATCTCTCCCAGCTAGTGTAGTTGTCTGCTCCACAGCATTTGAACTGAAACAAATAATTTTGTCGTGACAACTAAAGATACAGAGACTTACCTACGTCTATCTATATTCCAGACCATGGGAGTCAAGGTATTGGAGGGTATTACAAAGTAACTGGCATGCCAGTATATTACAATATGGCCATCGGCAATACATGTATCCAATTCAATTCTTGCTTATCAATATTTTCTGATACAGTCACAGAAGAACAAATAAATAAATAAAATCAAGTACAGAGAGGGATTTAAGGATTGACATGGGGCCTCTCAATATAAATTACTTATGTTCATTTACAAATTGTTTTCGTACAGGATGCAATATTCTGCTTCCGGTAAAACCCTGCCAGATAACACTTGCATCATTAATAGCAAAAGTATGGATTAACAAAGATATATGCTGAACTACACTGATGGAAAGAGCAAGTTGGGTTTTACACGGCATAATTCCATGATATCCCACAATCTGTGCTTCGTTTATCCATCAATTCTGAGGCTTTTTAAATGCAATGAATAAATAGTGAAGGCTTTAAGCAGACCAAAGTATGTCTGGATTCAAAAAACCTTCAAAAGAATCCTAACTTATTTCATGGTCAGAATAGCTCCACTTGCACATCCAAATACACACACCAAAGATTGGTTGGTTGGTTTGTTGTTTAACGCCACACCCAGCAATATTCCAGCTGTATGACGGCAGTCTGTAAGTAATCGAGTATGGACCAGACAATCCAGTGATTGACATCATGAGCATCGATCCACGCAATTGGGACAGATGACATGTATCAACCATGTCAGCTAGCCTGACCACCCGATCCTATTAGTCGTCTTTTACGACAAGCATAGTCGTCTTTTACGACAAGCATAGTCGCCTTTCACAGCAAGCATGGGTTGCTGAAGACCTATTCTACCCCGGATCTTCACAGGTCCAGTGGTCAAAGATAAAACACAACTTACAGACTGCTGGATGAACTTCCATCCCTCCCGCACGTCCTGCGATGAGTTGTACCGGCCTTGAGCCTTTTCCATCTTTTCAACTGCTGTAGATTCAATCTGGAACAAAACCACTCACTGACACTGCTGCATTTCAATCTCAGATGTAGTAAAACACTGAATCTGATATTTTGCTAAGCATGTGAACCTTATGCAAGTGTAATATTTTCCCTCAATCACACCGAGTATTGCCAATACTGAAAGTTCATAAACATTCGAGGATTGAAAATTTAGTTTTTTAATGAAAACGCAGTATTTCTCTGACTATAACAACATTCCTGGGCATCTGCTCTTGAGCTTTCCTGACATGGGGTATGTGTGGGAACCCTCTAGCAGCATCCATGTTTCAGGTAAGCATCTATGTTTGCCCTTTCTTTGTTGAACGCTGCACGCAGTAATACACCATATGACGGTGGCCTATAAATAATCAACTCTCAACCAGACAATCCAGTGATCAATGTTGTGAGCCACAATTCACACCATCAGGGTACGATGACTTGCTATCAATCATTTGGTCGCTTCATACAACCTGCACAAGTGAGTTAACATATAAAGACACAGCGGCAGTATTTTAGACATAAAGTACGACCAGTATAGGTTGCCGAGGATCCAGAATCCCAACTGGGGGCACATCTTTGATAATCATTTTATTAAGTAAAACATCAGCAAGGGTAACCAAAAAAACATGTTACGATCTTGCTAATCATTCGACCTGAAGCACATTAACATCAAGTTGATAAGATACTGCATACCCATGTGAGTTTAATTTTATTACAAATATGAAACTTATCAAGCTTATCACATGCTCTTGTCTGATTTCAGATTTGAGAAATAACCATAACATAGTCCAAGGGCATTGCAAGTAGAGGCTTTCAGTATAAGCTTTTAACCCACATATACAAAACAGAATTGTCTGATAGGCAGTTCTTAGAAGCTGATGGATAACAAATTAGACAGTTTATGGAGAACTTCTTTATTATACCATAACAGCAATGTTTCCATAAATATCCTGATACTGTTTTCAGTCATATTACTAGCGACAACAAGAGTATAAGGATCTATACCTAAATGTTGCTATTACAGTAAAATAAAGAAGTTGTTATCCATAAATTTGGTCTACTTTGATATACCAACCTTTTTATGAACTTGGTCAAAATACACTCACAATTTCATATTTCACTTTCATCATGTTCATCAATTTGGGTTTTTTAAATTAAAGGAGGTTGTTTTAACAATTGAGTTCAGCCAATGCGTTTTTCTCTCACAACATGAGAGATGATACCAGATACCTCTCAGACATTTGATTTTTTCAAAAAGTTAAATTGTCAGGTTTATCAAATCTCCAATCTGATATGGTCACATTATGACATTCTTAAACATCCCATGTATTCTGACATACCTGGTCTCGGAGAACGAATCCAGCAATTCCTCCGCCAATCTCAAGGATGAAAATAACTACTAAGAGACCAGCAAACTGAAAGACAAACAAACAGCTTTTTACAAACATCACTACATTCACAGACAATTAGACACCATCTCTCAGGATCATAGTGCCTGTATACTGACATCACACCAAGATTTCTCTTCTTTTTTTTTACATCACTTGGACCCTGGGCACTTAAATCACCTCGGTCACAGAAATCAATTATTTGTTCATTACAGACTATGAATTATATGCATGTAACCATGGTAACAGGAAATGAATAACCTTAACAAGATATACATTCTAAGCTAGACAATCAAACAAAGCAGTTTGAAAGATTAGCCCGAGACCTTGTCGCCCATCCCTGAAATAACTCTGACCTCTATCATGTCTATATTCTGAGCAATTTAGATCCTCTATCCTGCATGTCTAATTCCTGATCCAGAACTTCAAGGAATGTGGGTCCCTTGACCCTTAGGTTTAATCAGTCTGAATGTTCAACCATTTCAGCTCTTTTTACAATATCACATGTTAATGTTACATTGTTAGAAATTATGAGGTCCTTGTGGGTGCCGCTATAAATTAGGATCCCTAACACTTCTTACCACAAAGAAGATCACAAGGACATGGAATAATTTTGCATGTGCATATGATCCCCACTTCCTGACCTCAATATACCTCCTCATTCTCCCACACCCCCCCACACACAGTGATGCTATCGTACTTGTATTCAAGTTCCCTAAACGCCCCATTTCACAACATGAGGGTGATGACAAGAATCCCCATTTTTCATGTTTTAATTTTGAGGGGGCACCCTTCCCATTCAGCCACCCTGTACAGCCCTCAGCGTAGAAGCCCATGTCAATGTCATACTTACTGTCATAATACAACAGTGGTTTTCCCTGCATGCTCCCAGACATCCGAAGGCAGCAATGAGGAAGATGATAACGCCAACAAATATGAGCAGAATACCAGGTCCATTATATTCACTGCCGAAAATGGAGGCCACATCCGTCAACTGTGTCTGGACGTAAGCACCGACACCAATCAGCGCACAACCAACAATCTGAAATAAAAAAAGGCAGTGACAGAAATGTGGGGTTTTTTTCTGTGTCCAACTGGGCACTCACAAAGATGTTCAGGTGTGTGCACAGGCATCTAACTGTACCAACAAGAATAAATTTTATTCTATCTTTAATCTCGAAGGATGTCATTTCACCATGACATGGATAACAAGCAGTTTTCAATATGTGGATTGCAGCGGTTATTTTATGTTGTTGTATGCATTTATCATGTTCAATGTGTTTGTCCAGTTTACTGATGTACAGCCCCATGAAGATCCCGGTCATAGCAGGTCTAGAGCAGAGGTGACTATGCTTGTCGTAAAAGGCGACTAACGAGACTGGGTGGACAAGCTTACTACATTGGTTGATGCATGTCATCATATCCCAATTGCATGGATTGATGCTCATGATATCAATCACTTGATCGTCTGGTCCAGGCTCCATTATTTACAGACTGCCGTCATATGGCTTAAACAACAACAAAAAATCTTGGTGTGCCCTGTAGGCAAGGGGAACTTAATAACTCTGTTTGCCACAGCTAATATGAGACAGAGATTTTCTTACCATTATTTATTAGGCATGTTGTATTATGTTAAAATGAATTTGTCAAGAAAAGATTTTTTTTTGTCAAGGTAATTTAAACTCAAATTATTTTAACCGGACATATTAATACACAACAGGAACTGAATCTATTTTCTTTCAAGCATGCCACAAACACTCAAATATGTTTAGATATGCCCTTTGGAATTTAAGTTTGCCAACAAGAATAAATACTTTTGAGATATCTTTGATTCTGGCATCTGCCAGACAAATAGTGACAAGTTTGTCCCCTTTTTTAAAGAGACTGATATTTTAATCACCAATCAGCTCTCGTTTCCTCATACTGTCCATTAAGCATTTTCTTCATATATGACTTCACATAACAAATATTATTATCAATAAATATGATTTCTATGTTACAGTAGAACATGTATATAACGAACTACAAGGGACTGGAGAATTCAGTTTGCTACATACGTTGTTCGTTATATACGTTTTCCCTTGGAAACATCCGCCATCTTGGATAAAACGAAACACAATACACATAAATTGACTTGTATTTGCAGTGATTACTTTGTAACATTTCATTGATAGCATTTCATAACATTCATTTAATAATATTAAATTTATTACATTAATATTAACATGGTTAAGAACCTGGTTTATAAAATAAGTATTTAGCATTTCATGATTTACATATGGGGAGATGTGTAGTCGGTGATTTTGCTCTGGCCTCGTTATGCTGTGAAACTGCATAGGTTTAATGTTTGTACTACAGACAAGATTAGTCAAATTACATGTACGGGTAAGGTTAACATAATACAAATTTAACCAGGCTGATTGTGTTGATTCGCCACTGATTGCGTAATGTGGGAGGAATGCCCGAAGTGATGCAGGTCCCAGACGTTTACCACTTCGGTGAAACCCACGAGCACGGGTATGGTGCTGACAAACCTAGAAACATAATCGGGGCGAACTTGGATTCGAACCCACAATCATAGGTTTGGGGCGTGCCCTAGGGACGCAACTCTGCACAGCGAATCGTGGTGTCTGGGCCAACCAGGAAAGTGCAAGAACTAATAAGCCAGTGTAAAACCAAATGACAAGATAACAATCAACTGGTTCAAACTTGTTCCTTAGTATTACTTTCAACAGATTTATTTGGAGCTAATTAGCTTCCTTGACCAAAATACACTGAACCAGTCTGTTACTATTTAATTCACTATGAAACAAGTGTTATCTTAGAAAATGACATGAAATTTGACATAACCACGAAGTGGCCTCTTATCAGTCTAGCTGGTTCAGTACTTAATGTATGACCCAGGTGATAAGATGACATATAATGTCTGGTTTCAGCAATTTTGGTATTGGATTACATCTCTTCCACATGTACAACTTGACCCAAGAAGATCCGGGGTAGAATAGGTCTTCAGCAACCCCTGCTTGCCCTAAAAGGTGACTATGCTTGTCGCAAGAGGGAACAAACGGGTAATGGTGGTCATGATCGCTGACTTTGTTGATGCCGCAGCATGTCATCGATCCCAATTGCATTGTTCGATGCTCATGATCCTAATCAATGGATTGTATGGTCCAGACTCGATTATTTACAGACTGCTGTCATATAGCTGGAATATTGCAGAGTGCGGCGTAAAACAACAAACATGTATGACTTAGATGTACACAATTGGATATGTACATATAGTATGATTGTTGTTAAATGCTGCAAATGGTCTGACGGAATAGGTACGGCAAATTATTGCTCATAACCATGTTGGCATTGTTATACAACAGAGACTGTTAAAATATCATAACTCATTTCATGTAAAATATCCCGTTTCTCCCTAAACTTTCACCCACCAATGACCCTGAAAACTCAATAGCTAGGACAAGAATGATAAAGTTACAGCAGTATCATGTACCACGTCCTTAACATGAAGACCAGTGCCCCTCCCGGGACATAGTTATGAAACTAGAAGTATCCCCATGTCACGTGCATTTGAGTCTCATCTTTTCAAGCCCCAAAAGAAAATGTGACTACACGATTAATTGTTATCAAGGTGGACACTTCAAAACGCAGTTCAGACAATTTGTTTGCCACTTACTACTGAATTTATGTTGCGAATTAAGCTACATGAGGTAAGATATTCAATAAATAAAGAAAACATACCTCAAAACTTACTTTTACTCAATGCACATTTTAATCAAACTTTATTTGGCATCAGAACTGCACCGATGATGTATCAGTTGCTGTTTGTAAATTTCCTGTATGTAATGTCATGTGACTGATCATGTTGTTCATCTATTTTAACTTGATTAATTGAGGGGCTCAAAATCATGTGACGGCAACAAGATGGCACCTGATCAACTAGTTTCACAAGGCAAGACCTCATCAGAAAAATTAATAAGACCTGGTCATATGACCATCCAAGGATTAACAGACAAACATGTTCTTAAAGGTAAGACTTCATTTTAGTGAATTGGGATCGTTACTAGACACATAATTAGAAATACTTCTTTGGGGCCCGAAACCCCTTAACACGAGGATACATAATTTAAGTGTTGATCATATTGTGAACAGCTCTTCACCTTACAGTTACACAACCATATAACGTGTAGATCTTCTCATAGTTTCTTTTGAAACCTTCACCTACCCCAAAAATTAAAGAGCAAGGACAATAATGATACTAATTGCGCACAGCTAAATCCTGAATTCAACTCAACAGAAACGGAACCAATTTAACATGAGCCCTTAGAAAACTTTAGGTATGTGTCACTTCCTTGTATGGTTTTATATGACACGAATGCATTAAAGTTCAGATTACATTGTGTGAATTTGTTATCAAACACGTTGTGACTCTCACATCATCGCGAAAATATATCAGTTTATGTCATCATTGCTGGTGCTACTAATCTTCCTGTTAGGCTTCACCCTACAAAGCTGATGATAAACGAAGTTTTAGATTTAAATTGATCCTTTCTAAACATGATTCATTCCAGCGCTCTCAAAACTCATTTTGTGTTGATTCGCCCACCGCATTGACACCCTCACTTGCCACATCACAACAGTTTAGATCCTCGGCATTACAGATTGTCTGTCGAATATTGTGTCGTATAATGTTTCCTTAAACTCACTTAGAAAGCTGTCACTAAAATCTGTCAGCTCCGAAATAGTATGCATTAAAATCTGGCGATAAAATTCCCAGCTGTCAAATAAAATCGAAATATTTTTACCGGTCAAGGGTCAATCCCATGCTTATTTGCACTTCAAAAATTTGGCGTATCATTGAAACTGTTAGGCCAACACATTTGAAACATAATTACTTACAACCTTCATTTCAAATTTAAATGAGAAATGTCTATTTAAAACGTCCAAGGCCATATTATGATGTAAACAGTGCTATTGGTAACTGCGATTAGTGCGAATTCAAACGGGCTTCATCAAACATATTCGAGTCTTTAATAATATATTTGTTGAACTTACCACAAAAATGATGTTGAACACCATAAGAAGAACTTTCACTATTTTCATTCCACCCTCCATGTTTGGACTTTGATGTTTTTCCCGTCTATAAAATAAAACAAGGCTTCTCCTGCCTTACGTTCTCTGTCCCTCGCGCCACCAAGCACCTGACTGCCTCGATATTTTCCTCCGCGCAGACAAAGTAATTCCGGGATAGCCTGGAAAATGAGTTCTTCACGAGTCGGTCTGTTTGGCGCTATTTGTGCAGTGACAATTAATCCGAAATGGTTCTACTGAAATATACACAAGTGCGATGATGTTTCTCAACTTCAGACTGGGCGAAATAGGGAAAATGTGAGACCTTATAAATAATGAAATGCTCACGTGGTCCGTACGTCACACTCCCTGTGTCACAGTCACATGAGCGAAGTGATAGTGTGTGGTCACTGTATTACAACATAGACTTTAATTGATTATGAGGATGGTGGGACGATTTGGAATTGATTGATGACAACTGTGCTTTTTTAAAGTCAGCTAATACTTAAATTACTGTGCACGTAAGATACTTATGTGTGAATGAGTGTTTACAATGAACACATATGATGTTTGTGTGTGTGTTTGTGTTATATAATATATATGTAATAATGATGTATTACTAAACAGTTTTAGTCATGAATAGTCACGTGAATAGGTATGTGAATCTCTGGTTTAGGTAATACATGTATATATATTTATGAGTTGTGAATGATACTGAATATTTACTTGGCACCTGTGGAATATCTGTGCCTTCGTCCGTAATTTATTTCATTCGTCAATTAATTCTTTCCTTCATCACACCCTCCATGACAATGACATACATGTGATTTGATTGATCATGTTCCAACTATACCTAGCTCTATTTATAACCTATTACGCACACACACACACACACACACCACGGATTTCCATAATGCCTTTCAGCAGTATAGAATTCTATTTGTATCACCATGTCATATCAACGGGACCAGTGACGTCACACAGGCCATGGACTCTCTTTATCAAAGCGTATACAGCTATAGACTGTGTACCTCATGTATTAGCAGGAAAAGTTGTTTTTCATAGTCGACGTGACATTTGCTCACGTGACGAATAGCAACAGACCTTTGCTCGAGCAAAATACAATTGACGCCTATGTGCATTACATTTAAAATTTTAGTCAGTAAAAGCGGTATATATAGTTTGTGGACCAGACAATCCAGTGATTGACTTCATTAGCATCAATCCACGATATCTGTGAAAACATATGGAAATATATACGGTATCTTACGGGGATTCATCCAGCGATTTCTCTATATATTTTAAAGGTTGCGTCTTTTATACCAGGGACGAAATCTCAAGGCCATGAGTTGTTTGTTGTTTAACACTGCACTCAACAATATTCCAGCTATATGACGGCGGTAAATAATCGAGTCTGGACAAGACAATCCAGAGATTTACATTACGAACATGGATCAATTTGCTAACGATGACATGCATAAACCAAGTAAGGGGCCCCAAGTAAGCGAGCCTGACCACCCGGTCCCATCAGTCGCCTCTAGCGACAAGCAAAGTCGCCTCAAGCGACAAGCAAAGTCGACTTTTGCGGCAAGCATGGGTTGCTAAATACCCACGGATCCACCCCGGATTAGACCATGAATTGGATATGTTTATCACTTTTGGCGAGTCCGTCTGTATGCCCAGTGTGCGACTCTTGTATGCTACAGATAAAATGAGACGGGAAGAGGTCGATTCACGAACCGATAAGCAATGCAAAACTGATCACGTTTATTGAATGCGGGCTTTATATGACTTTTGATTAGAGTGAAACTTCCCGACACATCAGAACTAGTATTACATTACATGTATCACATTCGGGTGAGCAAAATACAATCAAATTTCTTAATATGTCGCGGAAATCAAACAACGCATTTCCTAAAAATATGCATAAATCAGTTCTGAACTTCAATCGCGACCCTCACAATGTTAACCTGCCGTGTAACCTTGACACCGACCGCGTGCACAAATAACACAAGATGCTCGTGCAACAGCTTGGTTTAACTCGCCAATCAAGAGTGGAACGGACTGTGGATTTGGAATTACTAAACCGTTAATTTGATCCCCTAGGCTGCTGGTAAAGTGTATCACACATCTTCGACCTGCGCCCTTTTATGAAACTTATGACTGTAATATAACTTTCAAAGCTGTTTATCCCAAGACTTGAAGTAATCCCTGTTTCTGTATTAAATTTTTAAAAAACCCAATAAGAATAAATCCAAGATATATTCTTTTACCTTTTCACTCACTCACCTACCCACTCGCACACTTCTCCCCCCCCCCCCCCAATACACCCCCCCCACCCCCCCCACCCCCCCCCCCCCCACACTCCCACCTCCATTCAAGTACTCACTCAATCAACTAATCTCATTCACTCACGCAACTACTCTCATTCACTCACGCAACCACTGACTCAACTACTCTCATTCAATCACACAACCACTCACTCAACTACTCTCATTCACTCACACAACCATACACCCGAACACTATCATTCACTCATACATCCACTCAATCAACTACTCTCATTCACTCACACAGCCACTCACTCAACTACCCTCATTCACTCACACAGCCACTCACTCAACTACTCTCATTCACTCACACAACCATACACCCGAATACTATCATTCACTCATTCAACTACTCTCATTCACTCACACAGCCACTCACTCAACTACCCTCATTCACTCACACAGCCACTCACTCAACTACCCTCATTCACTCATACAGCAACTCACTAAACTACCCTCATTCACTCATACAGCCACTCATTCAACTACTCTCATTCACTCACACAGCCACTCACTCAACTACCCTCATTCACTCACACAGCCACTCACTCAACTACCCTCATTCACTCATACAGCAACTCACTAAACTACCCTCATTCACTCACACAGCCACTCACTCAACTACTCTCATTCACTCACACAACCATACACCCGAATACTATCATTCACTCATACAGCCACTCATTCAACTACTCTCATTCACTCATACAGCCACTCACTCAACTACCCTCATTCACTCACACAGCCACTCACTCAACTACCCTCATTCACTCACACAACCATACACCCGAATACTATCATTCACTCACACAGCCACTCACTCGACTACTCTCATTCACTCACACAGCCACTCACTCAACTACCCTCATTCACTCACACAGCCACTCACTCAACTACCCTCATTCACTCATACAGCAACTCACTAAACTACCCTCATTCACTCACACAGCCACTCACTCAACTACCCTCATTCACTCATACAGCCACTCACTCAACTACCCTCATTCACTCACACAGCCACTCACTCAACTACTCTCATTCACTCACACTACCACTCACTCAACTACCCTCATTCACTCACACAGCCACAGACTCAACTACCCTCATTCACTCACACAACCATACACCCGAATACTATCATTCACTCACACAGCCACTCTCTCAACTACTCTCATTCACTTACACAGCCACTCACTCAACTACCCTCATTCACTCACACAACCATACACCCGAATACTATCATTCACTCACACAGCCACTCACTCAACTACTCTCATTCACTCACACAGCCACTCACTCAACTACCCTCATTCACTCACACAGCCACTCACTCAACTACCCTCATTCACTGACCGCCTCCGTGGTCTTGTGGTAGAGCGTCCGCCCGGAGAGCGGAAGGTCCAGGGTTCGATCCCGGGCCGCGTCATACAAAAAGACGTTAAAAGATTGTACTTGTTGTTACCCTGTCTGGCGCTCGGCATTAAGGGGCTAAAACAAGGACTGGTCGGCTCGGAGTCAGTATACTGTGTCTGAGTGGGGTATTCATGTTACACTGCGGCATGGTATCTCAGTGAGCTAGCACTATAAATCGGCATCAGTCCGGACTAGTACAAGCAGCCACACACACACATACACGTGCATGCACGTCGCTATATAAGTGCAATAATCTTGGACGCGACGTTAAACCCAATTTCACCTCACCTCACCTCACCCTCATTCACTCACACAGCCACTCACTCAACTACTCTCATTCACTCACACTACCACTCACTCAACTACCCTCATTCACTCACACAGCCACAGACTCAACTACCCTCATTCACTCACACAACCATACACCCGAATACTATCATTCACTCACACAGCCACTCTCTCAACTACTCTCATTCACTTACACAGCCACTCACTCAACAACCCTCATTCACTCACACAGCCACAGACTCAACTACTCTCATTCAATCACACAGCCACTCACTCAACTACTCTCATTCACTTACACAACCATACACCCGAATACTATCATTCACTCATACAGCCACTCATTCAACTACTCTCATTCACTCACACAGCCACTCACTCAACTACCCTCATTCACTCACACAGCCACTCACTCAACTACCCTCATTCACTCATACAGCAACTCACTCAACTACCCTCATTCACTCATACAGCCACTCTCTCAACTACTCTCATTCACTCACACAGCCACTCACTCAACTACCCTCATTCACTCACACAGCCACTCACTCAACTACCCTCATTCACTAATACAGCAACTCACTAAACTACCCTCATTCACTCACACAGCCACTCACTCAACTACCCTCATTCACTCACACAGCCACTCACTCAACTACCCTCATTCACTCATACAGCAACTCACTAAACTACCCTCATTCACTCACACAGCCACTCACTCAACTACCCTCATTCACTCATACAGCAACTCACTAAACTACCCTCATTCACTCACACAGCCACTCACTCAACTACCCTCATTCACTCATACAGCAACTCACTCAACTACCCTCATTCACTCATACAGCCACTCTCTCAACTACTCTCATTCACTCACACAGCCACTCACTCAACTACCCTCATTCACTCACACAGCCACTCACTCAACTACCCTCATTCACTCATACAGCAACTCACTAAACTACCCTCATTCACTCACACAGCCACTCACTCAACTACCCTCATTCACTCACACAGCCACTCACTCAACTACCCTCATTCACTCACACAGCCACAGACTCAACTACTCTCATTCACTCACACAGCCACTCACTCAACTACTCTCATTCACTCACACAGCCACTCACTCAACTACTCTCATTCACTCATACAGCAACTCACTCAACTACCCTCATTCACTCACACAGCCACAGACTCAACTACTCTCATTCACTCACACAGCCACAGACTCAACTACTCTCATTCACTCACACAGCCACTCACTCAACTACTCTCATTCACTCACACAGCCA